GCAAGATCACAAGATCAAGTCTGTCTGGGACCAGCTCATCATTCCTCCCCGACCCGGCCTGCAGGGCATCGGCGTCGTCATTGCCACTGCTTCCACGCATGACGGTCCATTGCTTGGTCCCTTGGTTGTCAAACTTCATAAGAAATATGTCGCTCAGGCCTGCCCATGCCTGTCCGTCCAGCGGTCCATTGGCGAAGCCGGCCACATAGATATTGCCGGAGCCATCGATCTTGGCCATGGTCGAGGGTTTAGGGGATGAAGACGACCCACTGTGCTTACTGCGTTGACTGGGCAAGCTGCTGTCTGGAGCCCCACCCTACCAGGCCGCATGTCATAGCCCTCAAACCACACCATGTTCAAGGTTCCTGGAAGAACCTTCCATTCACACCGCTTCACACCTACACACACACACACACACACGAAAAAAAGAACACATACTTGAGTTGCCAGCCACTTACTCCGGGCTAGAGGAAGAAGCCTGCACCCCGCACCCGAAGCCCTAAACAAAATCCAGAACTCATGCCCCACCTGCAATGTTCTTGCCACGTCATTGTTGCTTGATCCATGCTGGCTGGTCCACTTCCAGGTCCCTGTGCTGTCAAATTTGATTAGGAAGAGGTCCCACTCACCTGCATTGACGTTGCCGAGATCCCCGTTTGTGTAGCCCGCCACGAATATGTTGTCAGAGCCGTCCACCTCGGGAATGGGGATCAGGGTCCAGGGTTGCGTCGGTGAAGGCAGTGCGCCCACGACGAATCACGACAGTCTGGACAAGGCAAATCTGGGCTAGTGTCTCCATGTGCCATCCCATGGAGCCAATGAGATTAGATTCTTGTGTCCTGCTTCATAGGAACCTGCCTCCCTGATATAGTACCTTGAGGTCGGGGTCACCATTCGAAAGACTCAGTCATTTTGCAAACTTTGGCGATGCGAATGGCAACAGAGTATCAGCTTTGAAGTAGCATGGTACAATGTAAGAGAAAAGCAAAATGAAAACGGCAGGAGCGTAGCCGGAAGCTGAGAGATCCAGAACTGCCCGAGATAGAACCGAGCCAAAAAGAAACCCGAAGAGCAAAACACCGCCCTCACGACAGTCAGAGTAACGCGGTGGCACCCGAGCTCAACCAGAGGGGGCAGCACCCCTTGAGCAACTCAATGCTGCATCAGGCATACCCGGCAAATCAACCTTGCACTGTCTAGGCTGAGACTGGCTCTTCCAAGGTTAGCTGGAACTCCTACATGT